GTCACACACGTCACTAATTATGATGTGTGTGACTTACCAAAAAAGTGAAAAAAATGTGTAATTATTTGCACTAAAGATTAAATATGACTGTAGTTAAAGGTAATGACTCAAGTCGAAAGAGAAAATAAAATATGTACTAATATAAAATTATTGAACATTTTTTACAAAATATTTCTAAAACAAATTATGACGTGTGTGACTGAAACTTTCGGACAATTTCTTTTGTCCGCAGCTAAAGGAAGCGATTGATGATATCAATATTCTAACTTTTCCTACATTTTACATAAATAATACATTTTTGTTTTCTAAATTGAAAATTTTTCAACTTATTTTACTGTTTGTTCCATGTGGACCAGCATTTCATTATTTTGGTTTATAAAAATTATGACTTGTCAAATATCATCTTGATTAACCTTGTATATTTCTTATGAAAATGAAGTTCTGACAACGTGAGCATTATTTTTGAAAACTGTGACATATCAGCTATCATAACAGTAGAAAATAAGTTTACAGATAAGTCTTAGAATTTAGTAAATGCAGCCTGAGTTTATGGAATGGCCCATAAGCATCAATTCAATTTTTTTTCATCATCATCAATTTTTCATTTCTTACAAGACAAGACTCCTTCAGCTTGACATGTTACCTGTCTCATATTGGCACGAATACTTGGATCTGGTGTTCCTCTACAAGATCATCAATAATCTTACATACATTGACGAACGTGCTCTACTGATCATGGCTGGATCAGGAATTACAAGAAGTGAATCAAACACAAACCTGATTAGACTTGTTATTCCTTATGCGAAAACCGTAACATTCCAGACCTCATTTTTTATAATAACTTGCAAAACGTGGAACATATTAAATAGTAACTTGTGTACTAGAGATATAGGTTTGCTATCTTTTAAATCAGGTCTTAATTAAACTCTACTACAAACATGCACTATCCAAAACTTTCAAATGTGTCGATCCGCGCACCTGGAAATCAGTGTGTGTAAAGTGCAAAAGAGCAAGATCGCTTAACAATGTAATAAGTTGTTGTTAGTCCTATATTATTGAACATGGACAGTATAGATTTCCGTTATTAGCCTTATTAGTTTTAGCTTGTTAAGTTGCTTGAAAATTTGTGTTGTTGTGTTTGTTTTGTACAGTAATTTAATTCTTGTTTATATGGGATCGCCGTAATTGGGGAAACCTGTGGCGAATTCCCTGGCTCTATTATATGTTGTATTTAAATAGTAGCCGAATCTTATTAAATCATTAAATCAATTGCCCCCAAAGAAGACAAAACACTGGGGGGACTGGGAGGGTGTACAATTGTACAAATTGTACATTTCATAATTAAAATTAAATTAATTGAATATTTGAAATTATTATAATTGTTATTCAATAATTATACAGTTTTTTAAAAAAATTCTTAGGGAGCAGTCATAAAGTATATGTTATATGTGTAGGACAAAAGCTATTTTAATTTTATTTGAACATTCTGACGTGTTTTATACTGTAAACCCTCAACTTTTCAAGGAAAGATGATAAGATTTCACAAACCAATAATCCAATATATGTACCTGTATTGAGAACAATAGGTGTCTCTCCTAGTCTCGTTGACACATAAAATTATCTAGAATTGGACAGATTAGGGCACATTATGGTGCAATACACCTTTGTTCAGGAATGATTTGCTCAGGGACAATTTAGATACAGTTAGGAATGAGTTTTATTCTCAAAACGTTTTGACTTCCTTTCACCCACATGATAGGCTAATTTGCTCCCCATATTAACAAAAACTTTATGATCGCTCCCTTGTTTTAAAAATTAATATTTACCTTTTTGCTGATTGTCAGTTTTTAAAATGATATATAATAATTCATTGATATATGAAATAAACTTTTTTATAAATAATGCATCTGCAGTCATATCCAAGCATGCCTAATGCTTTGTTTGTTTCCCACTTCTCTCAAGAACCTTGTTTCTGCTGGGGTCTATATGGTGTACTACTTTATAATCCTGTTGGATTAATTTGATTTTTGTCAAACAAATGCTGTATTATGCAAACTGAAAACATTCCTTGGTAAGCAACAATTCAACTTATTGCAAGTGAAAGATGTCATAATTCTAAAATTTATAAAACAACTTATTTGAATATTGCAATTGCATACATAACAAAAAAATATTAATTTTTCACACAGACCTTCCATCTTTGTGGCATGAAAATGAGTGAGATTTACTTCTGAAAGGAAATAGGACTTCGGTTAACAGAAGTGTTTAAACTCAGCCAACGTGTGGTCACATGCTTAAGCATCTTGCGATATACTAAGTCACAAAATTGAGTGTAATCACTAAGGGCAGCCTTTCGCTTGGTTGACTTGTCAAAATAGTAAAAAATATCCACTGCCAAGTCGTCAATGTCAAACCCAGAAACTTCCTTCAGTTGCGAAGAGGTCTTGCCGGCGGTATTATGAAGAATGTGGCATGGACATCCAAGAAAATAACAGTCAGGATTACGTTCAAGTACCTGTGTCTTAATAGAATTAAACTGACCACGATTTGCACTGGTATTGTCAATAGAGAAGGCTATGCAGTTTTTCCAGGGTATACTGTTGTCGGTCATAACTTCATCGATTGCTTCAAGTATTGTAGAAGCCTTAGCAGCATCCACACCCTGAGTCACTCCC